GGCCAAGACAAGCTGCCCAATGGGCCCGTGGTGAAGAGACCAAGCTGCCTGTGGTTCCTGGTGAAGGAGCTGTGCTGCTGACCAGCCTGCGTTATGGACCTGTTTGGGTGCATGGTATGGAGTCTGGGGCTTCTAGCCTGTAGGTACAGAAAGTCTCTCTCTTCCCAGAGTTAGGAGCACCAGCCCAGTCCTGACTGTGGGGGTGAGTTCCTGCAGGCTGCGGTTTGATCCCCATGCATTAGCTGTAGGAGACCAGTACCTTTGTTACCAGGTTTTAATTGGACAAATGCCTGCTGGTCCCAGGTGCCATCTTAGCAAAATATTACAGGAGTAGAATTCTAACTGGGTTTCCCAAAATTCCGTCAGCATCTACTCACCCCTATGTAAAGCTGCAGAACAAGTGAGGCCACTTAAATAAAAATCAAAGGTCTCCAGCAATGGTGGGTCTCTCTCATCACAGTCATTTGGGCTGGATGACATTTGAGTATTTATTTAGGAACCATGAAAGCACTATAATAACATCAGAATGTAAGTTGATAATACAGAGAGGGACAGAGGCAATTGATAAGGTGATTTCCCAATAATTAGTACAAAAAGTGTGTGCTGTGAATTAAATTTAAAAAAAAAGTGTGGACGTAGCTGCTTCATGAATATAGCGTCCCTTCCTTATTTAAAGGAAGCTGAGTTCCATGTGAACTGTGTGCTATGCTGTGATATTCGAGGCACAGGACAAGGGAGGCCCTAAGTGTACTATGCTTTGATATTTGAGTTATTCTTTATTGTTCAATGTGATTTATTTCTGTATGTCTCACTTTTGTGATAGTTAAATTACTAGAATAATAAATCTTGCTATAAAATACTACTAGGAGATCAAATGATCAGGTGACACTTATTATTTTCTATAAATGAACATAATCTCTGGTAGGCTAAAGTTATAGATATTATAGAATTATTCAGATATGGCAACCTACAGACTTGATTACAAGACAGGCTTACTATCACAACCCAAAATTACTGCTTAAAAAAAAGGCAGGGAGCCAAATAGAAACTGAACAAAATATAAGTCCTTGAAGGGCAAATAAAATTAGATAAGTTTTGCTGTTATAAGAGCAACAAGAAAAAATTCAAATGCAAGAATGAGAAACATTGCATCCATTCTAAGTTGCTCCTAAAGAAAAAAGAATTGTATACTATGAAAATAATTAATGCAGATTCTAAAGATATTTGTTTAAAGAGGATTTCCTGGAGTAGGTGGTATTTCAATTATTATTTTTTTTTAATGTGAAGAGGTTAGCTAGATAAGAAAAAGATGCAAGTGTCCCATATTGCAAAGGGTGCAGGTGGGGCTGAGGGATACCCCCACCTCCGTGCATGAATTTTGTGCACCAGGTCTCTAGTAATCCTATCTAATAAAAGAGTAATATGCAAATTGACCATAACTCCAACACACAAGATGGTTGCCCCCATGTGGTCAAAGATGGCCACTCTCATGAGGTCACAAGATGGCCACCACAACATGGCTGGCAGGGCAGGGCAGGGCAGTTGGGGTAAACCAGGACTACCAGGGGACCAGGCCTGCAGGGGAGGGCAGTTGGGAGGGGCAAGGCCTGTAGGAAAGGGCAGTTGGGGTGACTAGGCCTGCAGAGGAGGGCAGGTGGGGCAACTAGGCCACCAGAGGAGGGAAATTATGGGTTACCACAATGGAAGGGGAGCACAGTTAGGGGCAATTGAGTCTGCAAGGTGGGGTAGTTAGAGGCGACCAGGCTGACAAGGGAAGGAAGTTAAGAGTGATCAGGTCTGTAGTGAATTGCACTAGGCTGGCAGGGGAGGATAGTTAGGGGTAACCAGGCTGGCTGGGGAGGACATTTAGAGTCAATCTGGCTGGCAGGGGAGCAGTTAGGCATTGATCAAGCTGGCAAGAAAGTGGTTAGGGGGTAACCAGGCTTGAAGACAGAAGTGGTTAGGGGCAACCAGGCAGGCAGGCAGGCAAGCGGTTGGGAGCCAAGAGTCCTGGATTGCGAGAGGAATATCTGACTGCCACCAGAATCAGGCCTCAACAAGCAGCCGGACATCCCGCCAGGGGTCCCAGATTGGAGAGGGTGCAGGCTGGGCTGTGTTACACACACACACACACACACACACACACACACACACACACACCTGTGCACAAATTTCATGCACCCAGCCTCTAGTGTTAATATAAAACATGAATCTCTTATCAAATATCAACTAAAAACCAGAGATAAGTATCTAAGGTGAAGAAGAAAAGCAAAATCATATGTGAACGTTTTGAAGAGACACAAACACACCTTTTGGTACCTACTGACAACAGTCTACAAGAAGTAAAGAAAAGTACCAACATCAAGGAGATCATTCAAAATAGAAGGAGAAGCATAAAAGAAAACTCTATGCCTTTGGAGTGGAAGAGGAATTGAGGAAGGAACAGGGGGTTAGAAGAAGATAAATCAAAGGGATAGCAACAATCTCCTCAAGTCTGCTTTAAGAAGAGATCTTTGCTAGCACAATGTCAACAAAATGAAAGGGATATGAAACAATGTAGAGAAAGACAGTTAAGTAGGAGGAAAAGCACTGATAATGAGAATAGGGGAAATCTGAAAGAGAGCCTCCTGGGGCTTCCCAGACATGGGGAAATGCTGTTGTGTTTTTATGAGTGGTAAAAACAGGATTGCCCAACTTCTTCTTTAAGTCATATGGACATTTTTATATGTATGATATCTTTTATACTAAAAAAGTAGAAGCATAAGCTGAATCAAGATATTAGCCTATTTGAATGCTAAAGGGACCCACACTATAAAAAGAAGGAAAGATCAGCAGACAGAGAAAATGTTTTGCAGAAATAAACATTCCAGGTAGACATAAAACTTGCAGTTGACAGGATATGCAAATAATAAGCTCATTATGATTTTAAGAATCATTAAAATGTAAGTACAATATCATGGCCCTCAGAACAGTTTCACATTGTGCACACAACTTTTAAATAAGATAATTTTTTAATTATAAAAATTACAGATAGTAAATAATTTTTATTTTGGTTTTAATAAAGTGACCATTAAATCTTAATTCATGCTAGAAATGATCTGAGATTTGATTTTACCTGGTCATCGATTTTTCTAAATCACTCTTTTGCTTCAATACTTCATGCAAGCTCTGTTGCAGAGATATGGTTAAATCAAAGAGGTTTTTTGATTCTTTCTTTTCATGTTGCAACTTTGAAAAAAATTTAAGAAAATTATTTTTAGAAATCTAGAGATTTACTTTTCTTTCTTAAATTACGATTTCTCCTGGGTTTATGAGTCATATGGGTGAACAAGTTTATAAAATATAGCAGACAGGTTTATAAACTAAAAGCCAATCAGTACAGATTTCAAGAATAATGACTTCTTAAAATGACTTTACATTTTCACCACTTTTTTTTCTGGAACTAAAATTGCCAAAGTTTGCAAAAACAAAGGTTTTGATATATAAAATAGTAAGTTCTAAAAAGGTGAAAAGCTGGAAGTAACCACTAAGAGGTATAAAGTTTGTGTTTGGACTGATAAAAATATTCTATAATTGGATTGAGGTGACAGACGCACAACTTTATAAATACATTTTAAAATATTGCATAATATAATTTAAATTGGCAAATTATATGCAATCCTATATAATAATGAGGTGATATGCAAATTAACACTCATACCCTCACATGATGGCTACCTACAACCAGGCCAGCAGGGCATTAGTGAGGCACAACCAAATGACTAAACAAGCAGTCTGAGTAAGGCAACCAAGCTGGCAGGGGCTTTGTGAGAGACAACCAAAGGACTGAACAGCAGGCTGCCTAGGGTGATCAGGCCAGCAGGGGCAGTTGGGGGCAATTAGGCTGGTGGGGGGAGGGAGGGCAGTGAGGAGTGCCACTTAGGGGCAATGAGGCTGGCAGAGGGGGCTAGTTTGGGGTGACTAGGCCAGCAGGGGGGCAGTTAAGAGTGATCAGGATGGCAGGGAGGGGGAAGTTGGGAGCAAATTGGCTGGCAGGGGGTAGCAGTTAGAGGCAGTTTGGCACAGAGGGGGGCCAGCTAGAGGCAATCAGGCCAGCACTCAAAGGTAGTTGCCCTATGAAACCAGTGGGGGGAGGGGAGTTGGGGGACCAGGCAGGCAGTCAGGTGAGTGTGTATAAGCCAGCAGTCCAGGATTATGAGAAGGATGTCTGACTTTGGTTTAGGCCCAATATCCCAGGGGTTTGGGATTGGAAAGGGTACAGGCCAGGCTGAGGGGATTCCCACATGCATGAATTTCATGCACTGGGCCTTTACTCTGAATTATATCAATACTAGTTTTTGTTTTGTTTTTAATTCCATTAGTGGATCTAGATTTCATTTCCTTAATTTTCTATTGTGGGTGTACATATTACAATGATCTAAATATGTCCCTGCTTTCATTTCCAAGTGAGTGAGAATGAAGGATATGCCTACTACAATTGGTTAATATAATGACCTTCCTGTACAAGTAATTCTGAAATTACTATGGAATATCCATTCACTGAATATAGATAATACATAAAACAATTTTCTGGAACATTTCATTCAGCACTATCCTCTATTTGATCTGGCTGCCTCATCGTGATAATGGATATCACTGAATAGATTGTTTTGTAGGGGAAGCAAAGCCTTTTGCCTTCTATGAAGAATGACACATAGTTATGTCATTCCCTAAGAGCAAATACTATAAGAAAAAACATAAGATACAAAAGGCAGAATAAAAGACAGGTTTTAGGAAATAAGTGCACTCTAAAGATAATGACATTATAATGAATTAATCACAATGAAAATAGCAAAGAAAGCTGCTCTTGAAAAGTAGTATCCTAAAACACTTTGTATTATTTAACCAGTTATAGATTAACTGATGACATACTAAATTTCATACATACTTGACTTCTGGTTTCATCTAATTCCTTTTGCAATGCTTGTATTTTATATTGAGAATCCATACGATGTTGTAATTCATCCTTCAGTAAAGCCTCTGTGGAAGATAGTTTTCTCTGGGTATCAGCCACTTCTCCTTGAAGGTGTCTCACAAATGCCTAGTAAGTAAGATATTTCTGTTACTGATTTTATAAATCACATTATTATTATATTATATTAATGATAGAAAATTCACATAAAAGATGGGGCAAAAGAAGGTTAACAGTTGTGAGTAGGTTACTTACTACTTATAATATTATTCTCCATACAAAACATCTGTCAACTTACTTTTAGCCAAGCCTGGCTGCATTTTGTTAGCGTTATATAATATTAATATAATATGTAACTGTAAAAGTATCACTATCTAACTCAATTCACCTTCTTTTCCTCATATGGACATGTTCTTGTTTGCTTAATCAGGTTAAAGTCACAGAAAATGTAATCCTCCTGCTAATCAGTAGTACCATTACTTAGACAGGTGACTCAGCCCCACTCTCAAACCCTCCCCCTTCCCTCATGAATCAAAACTTTAGAATCTACTGACATCTCAAAGAAAAATGGATATGTTAGTAGATCAAGTGGTAGTAAATTCAATATTATGGAACATTTTCTCTCTTTACTTTTTATTATAACCAGAGGTTTCAATTAATGTCAGATCTCCTGGAACATTCAATCCCCTGCTCAAATTCTCCCAATAGGTTTCTAACTTAAAAGAAAAGTGAAGTCATTCCAAGGATCTTCAAGGCCCTAGGTAACCTGGCCTTGACCTCCCTTCCTGCTACACATAAACCCTGCCACCCCTCAGTAGTCTGAAATGGAGGTCCAATGACAAATTAGAGCTACAATGCTCTCTATCTTGGACAAACAGCTCCAAATGATAGTAATTAGGCCTTAACATGAGAAATATGAACAAATTACTTGTAAAAATATTCTAAGAAAATGGTAAATAGTATTTGAAAGTGTAAATCAGGTATACATTTGCTAAAACTCAAATTATGATTGAATGAAAAGTAGATGCCTTTAAAAGATCAGGAGGTCCTATGAATATATTACTTTGCTGGAAACCAAACATTGTCATTGGCAGTTCAATGTGAAAGGGAATCCCAACCTTAATGGGTCAGAGCTATTAACTCATTGTTTAAATGAGACAGTGGTAGTTGAAGCAACTTTAACCTATTAATCATAAATAAATCCTTGCCAATTTTCTATTGTTGGAATTTCCTGCCTAAAGGATGTGGGTGTATCTCAGAACCTCAACAAAAGGCATGGAAAAAGGCCAGAGCAGCAGGTAGTCCTCTCCCTAGAGGTGGACTCCCGCCTGGCCCCCCATTTCCCCAAATTAACTCTTTTCCAGTCTATCTTCATTTGTCTGAGGCCCTCTCCAGAACACAGAACCCTGAAGAGTAACCCTGAACCATGTTGGACCTGGAAAGGGATCCCACATTACTTGAGACTGAAATATTTTCAAATTTAATTCAAATTAGCATAAATAAAAGTAATTCTAGGTCAATCTAAATGTATACGGAGCCAGTGAAGGAAGGGTACTATGGGATACAACATCTACACTTCAGTTCATCTGGGAAATCTGAACTTAATTGTCAAGAGAACTCACTTAATTAAATATTAATTTAAAAATACTCATGGAGGTAAGGGCATTTCCATTTATGTGTTTCCTAATGATATTAAAATTCATGACAGAAAGACTAAAATTATTAAACAATTAATATAAGATTGAAGTATTATCAATCTACATCTATTAGCAATCTGGAACTTAATGTCTTAAAATTTCATGGGCAACACAATGTCTTTATTCAAGCAAAGCACTTTTCAGGTCTAATGTTCATTGATGGATACAATGTCTGCTTTTAAAATAATAGAAAAAACAGCTTTATAATCTATACATTTTTTTATATTCACCTGGATTCAACATTTAGCCATCATCAAATATTGCTCTGAATTTTCTAAGAAGAAATTTGAAAATATTTATCTGTCTGGATACTTACATCTCTTTCTGCTTTATCATTTTCATATTGATGTGTGTTTTCTTTTAAAAGATGCCATTCCTTGATTAGTTCCTTACATGTTTCCTTCAGCATAAGACCTTGCTTTTCACTGTTGGCTTGAAGTATTTTTATGGTATCTGCCAACTGATCTTTGATTTTAATTTTCTTGTCAGCTTTGTGGTGAGCTTCATCCAGTTGCTTTTGAAGGAACTTATTTTCACTCTGCAGGTAAGATATGGTCTCCTGTAAAAATTCCTGCTTTCCGGTATCTTTATCCACTCTACCTTGTTCCTGTTGATACACGTGTTCAATTTCCTTCTTTTGACTCTGTACTTGGCTTTGGTCTCCTTCTCCACCTTGTAAAACAAATGTCCTATCTCTGAGAACATCTTTTGTGGAACGAAGCTCAATTCCCAGGTGATTGAATTTACTTTCAAATTTAGAACGTTGTTGAGAAAGAATCTCAATGCTATGCTTTATGTCAGACATATCAGAGTTCTTTTTGCCCTGGGAACAAAAATATTCTTCTTTCTCTTTCTTGAAAGCAACTTGTAGATCTCCTTTTGAAGTCTGACAATGCTCATGGTACTGTATAACAGTAGCCCTTCTAGAACTGTCTGAGTCACCTTCTGCTTCCAGTCTTCCTCTGTTCTGCTGTTCATCCTCCAGTTTAGTGCTTAGCTTTGTAAGCTCAGCTCTCAGATCTTCAAACTGCTCGTTGTGTTGAAGTAGTGTTTCTGTTATTGTGTTTTGAAAATGGTCATTTTTTTCTTTGACAATCACAATGTCCTCAAAATATTTTTTTTCCAATTCCTGCATCTGATTTTTTACTGTGACTAGTTCCAGTGTTAGCTTGGCAATTTCATCCTTCAAGATGGAATTTTCATGTATCAAAGGTTTTTCTTTTTCATAACTATCAGAAACCTAAGTAAAACGAAGGAGACTTTTAGCTAACTCATTGATATATCATGATAACCTCTGAAATTAAAGAGACCTTTATGTTTACAATAAAAAGCTTCCAATTGGTGAATATCTCTCATAAAAAAATATAGAATTGGACCCAACCTCTAACTTTATACAAGCCTGCATTCTGCAAAGTTTAAAAATGTAATATAAGTTCATGGATTTTTTAAACTGAAAAGCAAACCACACGTTATTGTTTAAGAGTCGCAGAATTGGAAAGGGTTTTTTTTGAATTACTACAAATCCAGAATACATTAAGGAAAAGATTAATAACTCTAACTACACTTAAAAACTGAGATTATAGACTGAATAGCTACCCGCATTGAAAGTATTAACCCTGCATATACTAGGAGAGACTAAATTTCCTAAAATATTTTTCAAAACTTATCTCATACATCATCTACTTTCTTAGTACTTTCAGTAATAAATACTACCTCTACTATAACTGCTAATCTAGGCATTGTCCTAAGCTCTTCTGTATCCATTTATGAACTCATTCAGTTATCACAATCTGAAATGGAGGGGTTAAAAACATAAGCAACTTCTGGATTTTTCCCAGGTTTCCAGACTTAAAAATTGTTGTTCTTGCCCCAATCCATAGTTCTTCTCTAGTGTGATTATAAAAACACAAAAGATGCCTCATATTTTAAAAACGTAATGGTAAGATAATATATACAGAGCTCTTCTTAGAAAATCATGAGATTATGTTACTACAATAACTTTTCTTCCTTGTTCACAATGTTTACCATAATAAATGTTAAATGGGTAGAAATGCACTGAATTACTTTACTAGCAATAAAGTAGCAATAAATTGTCAGTAAGTATATATTACATCATAGCATTCTCTTCAAAATCTCTTGTGTTAAAATGAGATATTACTATGAACAAATTGTAACTTTTCTCAAAGGTAGAATGACATCTAGCATATTACCTCAGAACTGGCTCTTCTTTTCCTCCTTACTATCAGTGGAAATGAAAACTAACCTCTCTAATAATATATCAAGGAAATGTAATCATTGCCAAAATCTAGAGCATTTGTTCTTGGTAGCTATACCTTTGAGGTCATGGAAAATACACCAATTACTATGGAAAATATTAAAAGCCTTCCCTTCGGATGAGGCCATTGTCACTGTCACTACTTGACTGGGGAGAGACAAATGGATTTTAATTAAGAATATAATTTTATCCAATGGACCCAAAATGCCACCACTAACACACACACAGAGACACACACACACACACACTCACACACTCACACAAACACAGATATGTTTTTAAATTATCTATAGTTTCCTTATGTACAGTATTGGATTTTACATATCTACATGCCCATATATACTTACACACATTTGTAAATGACTAAATAACCTACCTGATATAAGGCTTTCTTATGAGCTCTTTTTATCCCCTTTGGCTTGCAAGGGTGTTTGGTCAGAATTCTATCTTGTAATACACTTGTTTTCTGTTCTTCAGAAAGTTGTCTCTGAGTGTAGTTTTGTTCTTCAACAACCTAGGGACACATTTCATTTAGTTTTTTTTTGTTTTGTTTTGTTTGTTGTTTTTTTTAAAATATATTTTATTGATTTTATACAGAGAGGAAGGGAGAGAGATAGAGAGTTAGAAACATCGATGAGAGAGAGTCATCGATCAGCTGCCTCTTGCACACCCCCTTCTGGGGATATGCCTGCAACCAAGGTACAGGCCCTTGACCGGAATCGAACCTGGGACCCTTCAGTCCCCAAGCCGACGCTCTATCCATTAAGCCAAACTGGTCCCGGCTTCATTTAGTTTCTTATATCATGCCATTAACAAAAAGTTCAAAGCTTAAGAACAGATCCTTAAAAAACTGTTAAAAAGAAATAGCCTATTTAAGTATAAGGATATTTTGTTTTCATGAAAAACTCAAAATTTAACTTAAGTGATAGCTAGATTTGTCATAGAGCAAAAATGCAGTATTGTGAAATAAAATTTGATTATGAACAATTGAGAAACTCCATCACATTCTCAAGGCAATTTAGCCTCTATGTTAACATTTTTAAAAGCCAAAATTAACACTGATGTGAATGGTTAAACTCAATTTATTGTCACTTTGTTCATTTAGAAAACCTTTACAGACCATTTACCACATACCAAGGGTAGTAATAAATTAATAATTTTAGTCATAAATGTCACAATTCATATTTTGAACGAGATACCATGTTGGGTTTGTTTTAAACGTAATAATGTATATTAAATCAAATTATTGACCCAATTATTGACCCAATACGGTTAGATACAAGACATTTTTACACAGATAAATTTACATTATTCCCTCTTACAGTCTTCAGGGCCATGACTTGTGTTCCTATTTTGTTTTCAACTTTGGGGTTCATTTCAACTGTTTTCATGGGCTGCCCTTCTTTTTTCCTTAAGTGTGCTGTATTTTTTGGATATAAGAGATCAGCTTTTCGTCTCTTCTCTTTTTCTTTTTGTAATGTTGATCTGCAGTTAAACACAATCAAAGCTGTGATAAACATGAAATGAATTGTTATATTTATGTGATATCTTATGTAAACCTCATGGTAACCACAAAACAAAAAACTCAAGCAGATTGACAAAAAATAAAGAGCAAGAATTTAAAGTACAATACAAAAAATCTTCGATCCAAAAAAGGAAGGAAGCAACAGAGGAACAATGGAATTACAAAACTGCCAGAGAATAGCAAGATAGTATTAATAAGTCTTTGCCTATCAATAATTTCTATGTAAATGGATTGAATTATCCAATCAAAAGTATGAAATGACTAGGGATGCAGAACACACAATATGGCAGGCAGACTATGTGTTGTAGAAATATGCACCTGAAATCTGTATACTTTTGTTAACAAGAGTCACCTCAACAAATTCAATAAAAAGGAAAAAAGGCACACGATGTATTGTTGGATTAAATAATAAGACCCCAATGTATGCTGCCTTCAAGAGACTCCATTCATCTTAAATTAAAAAAAAAAAAATTCTCACCAGAGGATATGCTCATTGATTTTAGAGAGTGGGGAATAGTCAGAGATACAGACAGACAAAGAAACATCAATGAGAGAGAGAGAACATCGGTTACCTCTCTTATGTACCCAACCAGAAATGGAATCCACAACTTAGGAACATGCCCTGACCTGGAATCAAACCTACAACTCTTTGGTATAGGGATGGTGTTCCAGGCAAAAAAGCCACACTGGCCAGGGCTCAATCATTCTTAAAGACAATTAAAGACTCAAAGCGAATAGAGGAAAAAGATATTCCTTGCAAGTGAAAACCAAAAGAGGACATTTGTAGATATTCTTATCTTAGACAAAACGGAATTTAAGCCACAAACTGTAACACGGCACAAGCAAGGTCTTTATATAATGATAAGATATAACAATTGTCAATTGGTATGTACCCAACATTGGTTCCCCTAAAAATAAACAAATTTTATCAGAACTAAAGGTTTAAATATCCAACAACACAATAATAACAAGGAGCACCAATACCCCACTTTCAGCAACGAATTGATCATCTAGACACAATATCAACAAGGAAATGTTAAACTTGAACCAAACATTAGACCAAATGGACCTAAGGGACATTTAGAGAGCACTCATACATTTTTTTCACCACCTCAAAAAGATAGCTGCACTCCCATGTATACTGCAGCCTTAGTCACAACAGCCAAGATATATAAACTAAGTTTTCACCAATAGATGAACAGATATAGTGGTATGTATGTATGTATGTTTGTAGGTATGTGTATATTATATATGTAATTGTGTATCTATGTATACACACACACCCACAAATCACATACATAGACAATGGCATTTTCTCTGGCATGAGAAAGGAATAGAATAATAGAGACTGGCTATAGTTATAAGAAATGTTATTAGTCATGCTCTATTAACCATGATTGTTTTGTTCTGATTAAAGAAATTATGTTGTGATCTGGCTCGGGGTTCCCCCCACTTTTCTGGGACCTGGGAGTTAACCTGGAAATGTGGTCCATCCTCTTTAACTGCCTATTATCATGAAAAGATTAATAACCTGGTTGGAGCACAATGGAGTCCCAGAAGTGCCTACACTTTGCAACACCCCAGCTTGCATTGTCTGTAATCTGTAAACAGTATACCCATCTTTTTTCTTTTTCCTTATTTCCCCATGCCTGTAATACCTATTTTTATTACTTTTGCATAATCATTCCTATCCCCTTTGCCTACTTTCCCATGTAATCTTTGTCCTTCTACCCCATACAAGCAGCTGGTTTCTTGGGATGGGGTGGGTGGTGTGCAGAGCAGATATTCTTGGATGACCTACTGCTCTCTCATACTGCCAGTATTGTTGGAATAAATGCTTATATATGAATCAACCCTGTCTCTGTTTAATTGGCTCAAGTAGTGAGAGGCAGCCTGGACCCACTTGTCAGGTTTCACTCCCATTTGCAACCACATAGGTGAACCTTGAGAGCAGTAGACTAGTAAACATAAGTCAGACAAAGATAAATACTACAGGATCTCACTTGCATGTGGGATCTAAAGTACCTGAACTCATAAAATCAGAGAGTACAGCGGTGGTAGCCAGAGGCTGAGGGTGTGGGAAAGCAGGGGATATGCTGGTCAAAGGTACAAGCTTTCGTTTTAAGATGATCACTAGTGGGGGTTTGATGTACAGTGTGGTGAGTATAGTTAACAATATGCATTATATTCTTGAAAGTAGCTAAGGGAGTAGAGTTATATGTTCTCATCACAAAGAAAGAATTGATAATTATGTGATGTAATGGAAATGTGAATAAGCACTTCTGGGCTGATTACTTAACAACATAAAAGTATATCAAATGAACACACTATAGACCTTCAAAATATTATATGCAATGTTACATGACAATTATGACTCAATAAAGCACAGAAAGAAATAGAAATTTGAAAAAATAAAATATCCACATGGAATTATATATATTAATAGAAAATGGCAATAAACCAATTAGTTATGATTTTCTTAGAAAATAAAATTATTTGGTAACTTTTGTATACTCTAGCCTGGTATATGATCCTATATAATAAAAGCCTAATATGCAAATTGACTAAACGGAAGGAAGTACAACTGGTTACTATGACACATATGGGGCTGATGCTCAATGCAGGAGCTGCCCCCTGGTGGTCAGCGCCTTCCTACAGGGTGAGCTGCTCAGCAAGAAGTTGGGCTTAGAGCTGGAGAGAGCAGTGGCGAGGGCAGGAGCCTGTCCAGTCTCCACAGCAGTGCTAAGGAGCAGGGAGCCAAGCAGTAAGGAGCAGCCAGCAGGCGGGCATTAGGAGCTAGGAGTCCCAGACTGTGAGAAGGCACAGGCCAGACTAAAGGACACCCACCTCCACCCCCCAGCGCAAGAATTTTGTACACTGGGCCTCTAGTATTATAAATAATACATAAAATGACCTATTGTATGTTTTACATACATCATAACATAACATAAGTCCTTAGACTGTGTATGTGTGTGTTTATAAGGTCATGCTTTTATGAAGGATCTAGTTCTGGAAGTGAAGCTATTGGGATAAAGGAATGACATACATGACATTGTGAAAGAAGCTCAATTACCCTTTGAAAAAGATGAGCCAATTATATCTACAGTAGTGCATGAGAAGGCCTTTTCATCCAATGGGAAATTTCTGGTTTTGTTTTATAAATACAATAATTATCACTATAAGTTCAAAAAATGGTATCTCATTATTTGTTGATTTGCATTTTCTGATTACAAAGCAAGATGCACTCAGGTATAAATATAAAATTTGTTAATCATGAATATTAGCTCAACTTAGAATTTGTTTTATAGGAAAAGAATAGTTACCTACAGTTAGACACTGCTATAGACGTACCTATTAGAATCTTCATTTTGCACAATAGGAAACTGGTTCTTATCATTTTGTTCACTGTTGCTTTTCTGACTGTCAGTGTCATCATCAGCCACATCAAACATGTTTTCTGACTTTTCCCTCTTACTACTTTTCTGTTCCTTCTTTTCTTCAACCTTTGGTGAAAGTTTGATATTAAGGATGCTGTTATTACCTTACACATTAAGAAGACTGTGTTTTCATTACTTTTATCACTTGGCTTTATGATTATCTTTGCTAATACCTTATTCATTAAGAAGTCTGTGTTTTCATTAACTTTTTCATTTGGCTGCTGAGTATCAGTTTGTTCACTGTTGCTCTGATGTCTCAATCCATTTCTGTCACTGTCATTATCACCAGCATACGTGTTTCTTGAAACTTCTCTTCTATTGCTTGTCTGCCTATTTTCCCCTTCAACCTTTGATGAATGTTTAAAAAGAAAGACGTTGTTAGTAACTTATTCATCAGAAGATTGTGTTTTCATTAATTTCATGATATTAATAAAATTGCTATTACTTGAATCAATAAAAATATTTTGAGTGTTTAATTTGGTTATTAACAGGTCATTGAAATTGCTGTAAAATCTGCTTTATTTCTGTTTCAGCATAGAAGCAGAATTTTCCAAGATCTCTAAGAGTGATTTCTTAATTTTGTGCTCCAATTCACATAATCTACTCTTTGATACCTAACATTCCCCTGACTCACCCCCATTCCATGTATCTCACAGAGACAACTAAATAAATGACAAAAAAATTCAAAATTCCTTCTTTTGTCTTTCCCAACTCTGTCTTGCATTGCACAGGTAGATTTAAAGATGCGACATTGCGCCTCAGTAACAAATAGGAAGCTTCTTTCTTCGTACATGAAACTATTTTTCCTATATTACCTTTCACATTTTTTCCAAGATCTTTAAAGATATCAAAAAGTGTGGTATTTATAAAATATATGAGCCAAAGTTTACTACACCATTGGAGCAGAGTGAAGCCAATGAATTGATAATTAAGGTACAATTTGGAAAGTGAGTAATGCTCCCTAATTTCACACAGCCAAGTCTTGGATTTGGGGGCCTGATGAAATCTGGTGAAATTACCCTAATGATCCTCTGAGGTGCCACTCAACCATAAGGTCCACAGGTCCACACACACATACACACACACACAAACACAAAATAGGATAAATCCCCTGAAAAAAAAAAGAGCTAAATGAAATGGAGGCAAGGTATGCACCAGATATAACCGGAAAACATAGATACAAAGATGATAAGGAACATAGCGAGAACTTTTTTTTTTAAATATATTTTATTGATTTTGTACAGAGAGGAAGGGAGAGAGATAGTTAGAAACATCGATGAGAGAGAGTCATTGATCAGCTGCCTCTTGCACACCTCCTACTGGGGATATGCCCGCAACCAAGGTACATGCCCTTGACCAGAATCGAACCCGGGACCCTTCAGTCCCCAAGCCGACGCTCTATCCATTGAGCCAAACCAGTCTCGGCCATAGTGAGAACTTTGACAATGAAAAAGCAAGTATAAAAAAAGCATAAATAAATCATATAAAATAATCACTCAGAAATGAATATATTACCTGAAATG